GGTGCCAAAGTTCATGTACTTGAGCACCCGGAAGCCACCTAGCTCCCCTCACCAACACCTAAATGGGTAAACTGAGGCACAGAGAGGGCAGTCATACAAGGAGGAGGTAAGAGAAGCAGGGCTGGAACCAGTGATCTTGAGAGTATCTCTGCTCACACCACAAGGGTTTCACTAGGCTCCACTCTTAGCATGCCAGCATTTTAAGTAGATGAGACATTCAGAAAGAACAAGGATACCCAAACACCCTCCAACCCCTACCAGCAAGCCTGACTAAACCCACAAGCGCCCGCTCCCCCACTGGTATTCCTGAACAAATCCCTATACTCAGCCCAAAGGGCTGGCAACAGGCTTAGTGGCAGTCCCTAGCCCTGGCCAGACTGGCAGGATTTTTGCAAGTTGGGGGCAGACCCAGGAAAAAGCAGAAAGGTTCATCAGCTAGATAAGGGAAGCCCCTCAGGATGCCAGCACAGGAGCAGCTTGGTCTTGAAGCAAGAGTTCAGAAAGAAAGCACTGGGCTCCCTGGGCACTCCCCTGCCTCACCTTTAGGAAGTAAGACTCATTAATTGATTTTTTTTTTAATTTCCCACTTTATAGATGCAAAAGCTGAGACCCAGAGAATGTAAGTAAATTGCCTGATGCCACACAGCAAAGACAAGCCTGAGGCAAAACAGGCAGGCAGACTGCAGAGACCTCAGGCTGCTTTTCTATAAGCCTGGGTCCCAGAGCCCACACCCCACACTTGAATCCCTCTGCCTGCTCCTGTTGCGCAACCAGAGGCGGCTTCTCCAGATTGCCTGTGGTGCTTAGCCTGGACACGTGAGAAAATACCTGTCACCTTATGAGCCTGTGATACCTGGCAGCATCTAAGTGTCCTTATTACCCTGATGGAGCTGCACGCCGATTCTCTCAGCCCCCATTTTTTTGCAGGACAGTGAGGTTCAGAGTTCTCCTCCCTGTGCTCCTCCATCTGCCTTTGGCTGCCCCGTGACGACAGAGATGCCCTGGACAGGACCAAAGCAGGGTTATGGCCCTGACACAGCTGCCTCAGCCTCCTAGGTCTCAGAGCTGGGTGACACTCTGGGGCAGCAGGAACGCTGGTATGGCGCCTCCTCCCCATCCACGCCGGGAAAGAAGCTGGGAGGGAAATGCTGAATCCTCTGGAGCTCACCTCTCCCCCCAACAAAACACCCACCTCTGACTCTGGGATCATTTGAGAGTAGAACATTCCAGAAAGATCAGGCAGGGTCTGCAGACTATCAGTGTGATGTCCTCAACAGCCCTCCCAGATTCTTATCATCCACCATGGGGATCGTACAGTGGGATCATACAGTGTCCCTAGTGACAACCCACTAGGGTCCTTCACGAACGTGCCTCTTGGGAATCCATTTCCCTATCAGTTCCCTTCCTGACTAATTTCAGTATTCTTTCTGAAAAGCCTGCCTGAGGTGGTAGCAAGAATACAGAACTTTGAATCCAGACTCCCCTGGCCTTGCAAGAAGCAAGAACAGCAAAAAGTAGGCTGCCAGTCACTACTTGTTGTATGAATACCCGACCAGAGAGCAAATGGACAGACAGATGGATTAAACTACTTTGAGAAATTAAAAGCACTAAGCAATAGGACAGTTTCCCATCATCCTCATGTCCCAGACTCTGTCTCAAGCTTCCCCACGCTCACCAGCTTGATGAAAGGGTCTGAACCTCATGGAGGAGGTCAGGTGTGGGGGTTGGTCAGGCCCAAGGGGGCGTGGAAGGAACTTCCGAACTTGAACACATGCCAGCGGAGAGAGAGGAAGTGGCCCGCTGCGGGAGGGATGAGGGGCCAGTGGCAGCCCCCTGTGCTGGCCCGCCTCATGCCTGGCCTGTCTGGGGAAGGACAGGACCTAGCCGAGCCTGGCGGCAGGAACAATGTCACGAAGGTGCCGGCCGAGCTGCGTGAAAGGCCCAGCCCGGTGTCATTGTCAGCGCTCAGCCAAGTGCAGAAAAGCAATTTACTGGTCACGCCGCCTGCTCCCCTTGGAAATTTTATAAATTCTTCCGATTTGAGCTATCCACAGAGTCCCAAGTCATGTGGAGAAGGGATTTTATTAAATTCCCAGCTTCCCACTTCCCTGGGTGGCCGGAGGGGGCTCACCACATGGAGGGAGGGGGAGGGCAGTGTCTGGCATTGAATGTGCTCAAGAAAATGTGGCTGGGGATTGGGGAGAGACCATTCTGGGTCCCGTGGCTGATAGATGGGAAGAGGGGAGGAACCCACAAGCACCACAGCTAAGACTGGACCTGTCCTTAAAAACACAGAGGTCGGGGGGAAGAACACAGGTGTAGGCCCTCCCTGATAGTGCAATGGGTTAGGACACAGCACTGCAAGCTGGCAGCAGCCACTTTAATGCGAGTTCCACCCCCACCCTGGAGGTGATCCACATGGCGCAGCAGACCTCTCCTGACCCGCCCCCTGCTCCCCTCAGCAGTGTACTTTGTCGATCTGCCTGTTCTGCTCTCCACTCTTGTCTCTGGTGAATCCTCTCACTGCCCATGAGTCTCTGACCTGTACCCCAGTTCTGTATGAATAAATAAATAAATCTTAAAAAAAAAAGTATAGGTGTATCCATTCCCTAACAGCACACAAGGAAGATAAGATGCCCTAGGCCTCGGTGCCAGGTTGCAAAGCCCTCCATCCTTCCCACTGTTCGGGAGGCCTGTCCTGGCCCCTGTGCACCAAGGGAGACCTCAATATTTACCACCTTCTAAGTATGTCTTGCCCAGAAAGACCACCCTCTTCTCAGGGAAGCCAACATCAGACTCCTGGTGACTAACATGCAGGAGGACTGTGAGCCTTCCAAACTTGCAGGTAGCCCTTACAGTAGTGTTCATCTCCTAGGAATCACAAACTTGAGGACTCTTTTCCAAACACAAGGCATCATTTTTCATGCAATGTTTCCTCCCCCGTAAACCTGTCCTGAGATTATATAAGGGTGTGTGACCCATCGGTTAAAAGACGATGATCCTCTGGTGGTTTGGATGCGGAAAAGCCTGCAAAGGATGAGGCAGGAGATCTGGGAGGGGAGTCTCCTTCACCTTCTTGAAGGCCTAACCCTGAGAGACCTATCCCAGAGAGGCCGCTCAAGCTTTCTCCCGAGAAGCTAGTGGAGATGGAGGTGGAGGTGGAATACAGAACCAAGGTTCCCTCCCTCAGACTCCTCCAGAGAACATAAAGACTGCACAGCAGTCCCCCTCCCCTGGCCCCACTTCAAGTGCCCAGAGGCAGCAGGCAGCGAAAGGCAATGACAGTAAGGTCCACAGCCACCTCTCTACCCTTAGGCCCAGCTCATCAGCCTGGACCCCAGGAAGAGAGCTCTCACCCAGGTCAAACAAGCAGACCCCCTGGAGTGACCTCAGGGCCTGCCCTCTGCTTGGGACCTCAGCTGCAAACCAGGCAGGCCCAGCCTGGCACTGGCCTCTCTCTGTGACACCAGTGATTCCCCAGCCCCCCCAAACCCTGCCCCATCACCACGCAGGGTCACATCTGCTTTGGCAAACAGCCAGTCTTGACTTACTGACTCCAGTTGTATTGATTCAAGGAGTCACTGGGGACCCCAGCCTGGACAACAGGAGGAAAGAACCCATGCGTCCGACCGTCCAGTCAGGCAGCCATCCTTCCTGCCCCAACCAGCTGCCCCTTCCCCCACTCCATGACCATCCTGGTGTAAAACCCTCTCCCAGAAGTGGTATGGGACACAGCAGACACACTGCCACCACCAAACACTGCAAATCTACTGGGCTTTAACACACACCACACTCCTTGGGCCAGAAAACTGGGGAAACCACCATTTTCCCTGCTCAAGGCTCTCTCTCTGGGCATGTCCAGAATCTGGAAGGCTAAGGCCTAAGCATCCTCTGTCACCCCCTAAGGACACCTGTCTTCAACCCACAGGGGAAAAGGGTAGATAATCTCTTTTGGCCCCAGCTGAGTTTCTCCTAGGTCCCCTCCCTCCCTGGTCTAGGTTGGAGGGGGGTGGGGGCATAGGACAGTTGGCACTTCCTGGTCCCTTTCCTCCCCCACCCCACACCCATGCTAAAGCAGCCCTGGTCTGGTTCTAATCGGGCTGAAGTCTGAAGTCGGCTCCCTCTTTCCCTCTTCGTTTTCCCTCCACCCCTCCTTTTTCCTTCATTTCCATGGCTTTGGAAGCCAGAGCGTTCCAACTGTCTGCGTGCCAAGACCTTCCCGAGTCTGAAAGCTGCTGAAGTAACAGATCAGATTTTAGCAAGTGCTTTCCAGGCTGAGAGCCAAGCCCTCTTCTGATTCACCGAGAGCTAGCAAGCAGGGAGCTAGGCGGGGAACCAGCTGAGCGCTGCACCACCTTGGGGCAAGAGTGTGCGCAGCGCAGCGGGCCAGGAGAAAAGGCCCCTGGGTCTAGCCATCCCTCTCTACTCCCTCTCATCCCAGTCTCCCCTAGTTCTCTCTCTCCCTCTCTCTCTCTCCCTCTCTTTCTCTCTCTCTCTCTCACTCTCTCCTTCTCTCTCTCTCTCTCCTGCAAACGCCTTTGAAACCACAGAGTAATTTACAACTGAAGCTTTCTCCCTGGACTCGAAATCCACTGGGCTGAAAAGAGCCTTTTTGTTTGAAAGAGCGGACGGAGAGATTCGGGGACGGTCGGCAGAGGAAAAACCCCTGGGTCCCAACTCCTCGCCGACTAAGGTCAGGGGGCTTGCAGCCGGGCACACTGTAACGGCTGAGCTCGCCAGCTCCAGAGCTCTCCCCCCACTTAAGGCCGAGAGGAGCCGCGCCAGCCTGAACCCCGCAGCGGAGCCCCTTGCCCTTAGTCTGCCTACACCGGCTCAGGGCGGGCGCGCGAAGCCGCCCTTCCGCGCCCTGGGAACAGGTGCACTGGGCTCGGCGCCCAGGAGGGGTGGGGCACAGGGAGGGGGCGCGGCCCGGGGGAGGGGGTCGCAGGGTACCCAGAGAATGGGGGGCGGGGGCGGGTCAGAACCAGGCGACCACGTACCTGTACCTGGAAGCACAGCAGCAGGAAGTGTAAACACCTGCGGGAGAGAGATGGAGAGGCAGTCAGTAGGACTTGAGGAAGGGGGACGCGCAGACACACAGACAAATACGCAGTCGGAAAGTCAGACGAAGCGCGGCGCGGGCAGACAGAGCCCCCGGCACGCGGACAGACGGCCAGACAGGGTGGGCAGCCCCGCGCGCGGGCGCTTACAGGCAAGTGCAGGCGGAGGGCGCTGAATACATCGCTGGGCGGGGGGGCAGGCGGCGGCTCCTAGCCCAGCCTGCACATGTCCGCTCCGCGCGGCCGGGACCGGGCGCC